TGCCCCAACAGGCACAGTGGGGCGTGGGGGGGGGGGGGGGGTGCCTTCTCACATCTTAGATTTCCACAGTATACTCAGAGTTGTCTAACCTTTAGTCATTCATGTAACCCTTAGGAGTCTTGTCCTACCTCAGCCCCAATTAAGGTAGTATGTACTTGAAACTTTTACTGATGTAAATCACTGTACATTTCGAAAACCTTAAACACTGAGTGGAAGCTCATCCTAAGCAGCCATAGCCATGAATCATGGTTCGGTGTATCAGATGGACGAGAGCAGGGCTCAGGGAACTAGACTCGTGGAATCTGAAACCTTGCTTTGCTCACTGCTTGCTAGATAGCTAATCTGGCACGTTGCTTATGCTCTCATTGCCTTGGTTTCGTCAACCAAAGTAAATTATCCACCTGGTTAAGGTACAAAACAAAGAGAGTTTATTTGAGAACTTGTGAGGACTGCAGCCCAGAAGACACAGATTCAAGAGGCTTTGAAAATGTGTTTCAGATAACAAAGAGAAGTCAGCGTATTTCAAGAGAAAAGACGAGAAAAGGAGGGGGCGGGTACAATAGTTGGGACTGGTGCCAGCGTATGTCAAACAGCCTTGTCCATAAGGATTGGTCATAACAGTTCTTTGAGGCAGGCTTTGGAAGGAACCTTCTGGTTTGGCAGGAAATATCAAAAAGTACCAAACAGCAGAATTGTCAGCAGTTGTTCATCCAGGAGGTCATGACCTTGTGTTGGTGCTGAGTGCACATTTCCCGAATGTTCTCAGTTAAGACGCATCTAAAGCTCAAGCTGAGATGGCGTCCGGGCTCCATTTTAGGTGCCTTGACCAGACCGACATCAGTTTCCCTCATCAGTTTCTTCATTTGTAAAATAGGAACAGCAACAGGAACTACCTCACTGGGTTGCTCCAAGGATTGAGATGATAAAAACAAAACTTTATAAGTGGCCATAGCACGCTGTCTCACACTTGTGATGTTAGCCAATTTCCTATTTATTCACAAGCATTCATGAGACATGAGGGATGATGGTTATTCTCTGGCAGTTGGAAATGAGGACAGGATTTTTTCTTGTGAATATAATGTCTCTAAGTGTCTTTTTGTACCGATATGTGCTTTACTCAGTAAGCCTTTGTTGGCTGTCCAGTGTACAGAACCCTGTGCCAGGCAGCGTGGGGAATGTCAGGATGCCTGACCCTGCCATTGAGTGACAGCTTCTCATAGGAGGGAGATAGGCCCACGTCAGATAAAGAAGCTGCAAATTTTGCTGGCAGCCTTGCTAGCTCCACCACATACTCCCTCAGTGACCCAGGGGTAAGTTAGCTGATGTCGCTGTGCCTCGATTGGCACATCTGTAGAGCAGGGATTGTGATGGTGTTGTTGTGCAGTTTACATGAAGTAATGCAGGTAACACCCTTGGTGAGTGCTCAGTCCACTTGAGCTGATGCTGGAATTAAGGGATCAAGATCGAGTGGGGAGAGTCCATGCAGAGGCCCACACTGTGACTGAAGGTGCCAGACCGGGAGTGCCACCTCTGCTCCTAAGTGGATGTGGTGTCTTATTGAGGGCACGCAACTGGGCTTGCTCATGTTGGTTATGTTCTGTGGGTGTCCACTGTGCACTAGGGCCGGACTAATCAATCCTCACAGCATCCTCTCTGGAGGAGATCATCACTCTCTTTAGTTCTCTCTTTAGTTCCTAACCATGGAAATAGATGCTCAGAGAGGTCCAGTGACTTTCTCAAGGTCACACAGCCCAAAGAAAGTGAGCCAGGATTCAAATGTTTGAAGACACTCTATTCTTAGCAGCAGCACGTTTTAGTTCTTTGTTGTAGGTTTGTTTTCTTTGGGGGCAATTGTGGTTTCCCTTATAAAAGGGAATGGGTCAGACTTTGGCAAATGCTGATCTTTGCAGGGAAATGCAGGCTTTGCAGGGAATCCCAGTTACAGGAGGCAGTATGAGCAACCCCAGGAGGGACCAAGTAAAAGTTTATCTCAGGAAACCCCAATGGAGCCAGCGTGGCCAGGAGAGTGAATGCATATGAACTGTGACCTTCAGGGAGAGTGGGGGAGCTTGAAGAGAACTCTAGTGGGTGGGAAATAAAGTTTCAAAATTATGTTGGGGTGAAATTCGTGGAAGGAGTTAAACATCAGCATTTGGGATCATGGAAAACTGTGAAGAGTTTTGGACAAGGGGGTGACTTAAGGAAAGCACTGTTTAGAATGTGTTTATAGCGGGGGCGGGGGGTCTCTAGGCTGGCTCTTGATTCAGTTCATCACAGTTACTGTGAGTGGGGGAGAAGGCCAGACATGCAGTCTGGATTTGGGGCCACAGTTGGTAATCAGGGGGATTGCATCAGTCTGTGCACCTTTCGTGAGATAAAGTGGGGTACAGTGCCCCTAACCACTTCCCCACCCCAAAATATAAAAGACCATGGAATTGAGTAAAGTGGCCAGGCTTTGGAGTTGGAGCACATGCATATGGTTTCAGAGTACAGCCTTGTTCATATATTTTCCTGCTCAGAGCAAGAGCTTTGGCCCCATATTTTCACCACATGGCACTGGCAAGCATCATTGTCTCTGAGCTTCTGTTCCCCGAACTGTTAATAGAGTGGCTATTACTATTACTACTACTACTTGTTAGAATAAGCATAATCATCGCACAAAATTCTTGTGAAGTTAAAAACGAAGTATGGAAAGACACTTTCTTAACTTTAACTGTGTGCTAACATAAGCAGTGATTCATATTATCATCATTTACGTTAAGGGATTTCACTTGTTTCTTCTTAAAAAATGGTGAAGAGTGACTTCCTGACTGATGTTGCT